CAGGTCAGTCGACTGCCAGTAGCTCCGTTCTGGCCGGGCCGAGTATGGTTCTCAGAAGTGATTTCTCTCCTCGACGGCGCTCCATGGGAGATTCCCGTTAGGAGAGATCTCCTCTCACAGGCGGAGGGCGCACCCCCGCCCGGAGCTGTGGAAGCTGTGGGTGTGGCCTCTGAGGAGGCACAACTCATAGCTTCCGGTCTCTCAGACCGCCAGCTCGACCCAGCTAACTGCCCGTTTGGTACAGTTCTGGAGTTCCTGCAGGCCTGTTTATCCGCAGGGTTGACCCACTCCACCCTAGAGGTATTCGTGGCGGCCATTGCGGCCTACCACGCCCCTCTCGGTGGCCATTCAGTGGGAAGACACCCTCTTGTGTGAGGACACCCTCTCTCCCAGACACCCTCTCTCCGCGGTGTGCTGAGGCTGAGGCCTCCGGCCAGAGAAGCTTATGCTAAGTGGTGGATCAGGATGCTATTCCATAGCCTTAAGTCCTCTGATCTCCCCTCTCCTTTGGGTGTCAAGGCTCAATCCTCCAGAAGTTGGCATTCGGGACGGCGGGCCCCGCCTACTTTAGCCACTCCTGGCTCCCTTTTCTCTCGCCTTAGTTGTGCTCTTCCACACTAGGGAGGGATTTGCAAGTCTGGCGGTGTGGGCATTCTCGTTCCCGTAGCGTTTCGACGCAGCTCGAGTTCCTGAACGGGAATGTCTCCAGGTTACACATGCAACCATGGTTCCCCGAAGGGAATGAGACGCTGCGTCTCAGGGCCATACTTCTGGCATCCCTGCCAGCGCTTGCTTCACTCCTAGAAGCTGATGCCAGTTTCACCGCACGTGATTTTATGCTTCCTGGTCGCTACGTCACCCCGCCCGTGACGTCTCGCCCATCCATTGGACTGATTACACATGTGATTCAGAGCGTGGTCACGCTGGAGGCGTTCCCGTAGCGTTTCAATGCAGCATCTCATTCCCTTTGGGGAACCATGGTTACATGCGTAACCTGGAGATGTTTTTCTGCACTCTACAAAATGCTGGGTTATTTCTTTTTTTTTTTTTTAACCCAAATGTTGGGTTCAGCCTGCTAGGTCATTTTTAAGGTTATTTTTATTATTTTTAACCTAGGTACTGGGTAGTTTTTCTGTAACTCAGCTGCTGGGTCATTTTTACTGTCATTACAAATGATGAACCCCCTCACACACCTACCCAGCGCTGGGTCAGTGTAACCCAAAGTTGGGTAGTCTGTGCCAAACCGGTTAAAACTGCATACATTTGTCAATGGGCATTTTGTGTTCTAAGAGTAAACTTCCCGAGGGGAAACTTCCTGAATGAAATTAATGTTTGTACAGTATTACATTGTATTCCTATCAAATTATTACTCTACAAATAGGAAAACATCTGTAGTCTCACATTTTTCCTTTTTTTTTTTTAAATGTACATCTAATGTCTGCTTGGAACGCTAGCCTTCTACTATATATATATTAGATTTTAGAGTGCATTTTTATTATTTAAAATGAAAAACATTAAAAAGGTTCACTGAGAAATGATGTTGATGAAAATATAGTGAAAATAACACTGCAACACTTTGTTTTTCTTTTTGAAGAAAATCTAGAAAAAGTTTTTTTTTCAAATAATCCAATCATTGTCAATAATGCCGGAAATTTGCCGTTTGAACTGTGTGATCTGAAGCAGAACAGTGAACAAACAGAACAAACTGAAGCACTTGTTAGGAATTAAATTAAAATGAAATTAATGAAATATATACATATAAACATAACATAAACAAAACAATACAACTTGCATCTAAGAAAAAATGACGTAAAGAAGAGAACTTGAACTAAATTACCTGCTAGCCAGAATGTTTAAGTCAAGTTGGAAATACGCTCTTTCTGTAACAACATTCTACAGCATGGACAACGAATAGCTAAAGCATTAATTCATAACACTGTATGGCAATAGTTGACTTACTCTAATGTTTTTTTCACAGAGTTGGGGTATTTACAGGAAAAGTTGATGTTTTAAGTTTAAAGTAATAACTGTACTTGATTTCATTTTGCATTTACTTCTCAACTAAAATTTTTTGGGGAAAAAAATTGGAACTAATTGCCTTTGAGCAAAGATCCGTATTTTCCTCACTGAGATGATCACTCTAGACGCCCTATAGGTTGAATGTGAATTTTCCACCAAATTACTCTCCATAATGATGCCACTTTTTGTCCCTGATTATTCTGAGAATAGGTCACTTCTGACTCATACAGCACTCTGACTACAGCGAAAAACTATGATTAAAGTAATCATCTATTGAATTTAGTTCACAAAGAATACATGCACACACAACAGCAGACACAATGTGGGTGGCCATAAAGATGCATCATTCATCCCATCTCCATCATAAAAGGGCAAGGCATATATTGTTCACTACATTGCTTGCACTCTATTCATATTGTTAATATATTATAATTTCTGCTCTCTGCAGCGGCTGAGGCAAATGTTAGTGCGAAAGCAATTAGTCAGGCCTTACTGAACAAATGTGTCCCTTGCCTTGTCCCCAGACTGCTGATGCTGCTTGTAGTGCTACCTGCAAAAAGAAGAACATACAAGAAAGACAAATGTTAATAATAAGTAAAGGATCTGACTGACATGTTTTCCCAAACCAGTGCTTCTCCTATCGATGTTTCCACCATTTTTTCCAGTAGTCAGGAACTGCTGACTCTTACAAAGATGTCACTGTGCCAGTATTTGACTCATTTTGTACAGTCACTGCTGTTTGGGGTTTGAGTAAGCACACTAAGCCTGTTTCTGCCTCAGAACTAAAAAAAAAAAAATAATAATAATTGTGACAAAGTGTGTATTAAGTACACTGTGAAGTATGGAATTACAATTGTGACATTTAAAGTCGCATTGTGAGTTATAAAGTCATACTGTTTGACAAAATCACAAAAGTCACAATTGTGTGATTTGCAGGATATAGTATTACACTTAGACATATAAAGTCCCAATGTGAGATATAAAGTCATATGGCTTCACATAAAGTAGCAATTATGACAAATTAAGTCACAATTTGAAATAATAAATTCACATTGCAAAATATTATGTCACACTGTGAGATATAAAGTTGCAATGATGAGAAACAAAGTAGCAATAAACTGTTTCCAACTCTGAGTCTGAAATGGGATTCTATATTTAACAAGAAACTTCAGGACTTTCTCTAATCTTATGGAAACTTAGAGTTAAGAAATTTTGCATTAAAAATATGCATCAATCATATAACACATACATAATACAGTGTGTTTTGGCTGGTGTCAATTTGACCCCCAAAGGACATAACGTTACTGTTTTGGATAACGATCATATTTGTAAAAAGTGCATTTGTATGTTGTGATAATGTAATAATAATATGTTGTAAAGATATGGTTCAATAATATCTGTCTACTGGGATTTGATTAGATAAGAGGAAAATAGATTTAAATGATTTAATTCAGAAGTTAATTTCAAAAGTTCTAGAAGTACTACCTAAAAAAATTTGGAAACTTGTTGGAAGTTGGTAGGAACACAAACCTGCATTGTGTATTCAATGGGACAGGAAGTATCAAGGGAAATTAAGTAACTTCCGTAATAACGTCAAAAAATGTGGTTCCACCAAAGCACAACACCACCACTCCAGTTCTAAATTTAATTCATCATATGTTTTTATAACATAAATGCATTCAGAAAAACTGCACACCCTCTTTATTGACTCCTAGGCATCCTTTGAGTTCTTGAAGGGAGATTTACAAATGATGAACCCCCTCACACACCTACCCAGCGCTGGGTCAGTGTAACCCAAAGTTGGGTAGTCTGTGCCAAACCGGTTAAAACTGCATACATTTGTCAATGGGCATTTTGTGTTCTAAGAGTAAACTTCCCGAGGGGAAACTTCCTGAATGAAATTAATGTTTGTACAGTATTACATTGTATTCCTATCAAATTATTACTCTACAAATAGGAAAACATCTGTAGTCTCACATTTTTCCTTTTTTTTTTTTAAATGTACATCTAATGTCTGCACATCGTTTGGGTTTGGTTTTCTTCTTTACATAGCGCTTGAAGGGCTTCATCTCCTTCTTATTGATATCGTGACTGCCATTATTATCCAGCTGGGCAAAGTACCAATGAACCACCCGTTCCTCCAGTGTGTGGCTTGGATCAGGCTCAACAAACCTGGAGGAGAAACAATCCCAGTTGGTTGGGTATACTGTATAATACTTTCAAAACATATTTTACATTTAAGATTTTTTGTTGTGGTTTGATTAATTTGAAAGAGAGAGAAGACAGACAGCAAATGGCTAAAGAGAAGAGGGCAGTTTCAAATTACCTTCATTATTTATGTATTTATAGAACATTAAAATGCAGTGTTTGTCATATATGAACATTAATTATACCTCTTTTGAAGACTTGTGACTAAAACTGAATAAAATAAAATTACAGTGTGTTCATAACTCATAGGGTCCTCGGTCACATCTAGGCACTAGAATATCAGACAGATGTGGGAAGTTGTGGATAAAAATGTCAGGCCTAACTCACATTAATAACATTACTAACATACTAACATTGTGCTTGGACACTCTGTTTAAGAAGAAACTACTTTTTCCCCCCCCTCCCAGATAAAAAAAAAATTTTGTTAATCAATGCTGGTCCAATCAAGACTAAACTTGTCTTTGGCTCATCTCTTGAAAATATTAAAGTGTTTTAATGTTATATTACTATAATAATAATAATATAATATTTGGAGAAAAATCTCTAAATTAAAATTCCAAATTCCACATCCATTTCTATGCACTGAAAAAGCTTTTCCCCAATCACGCCTTTTCTCTGAATATTGTAATATTGTTTCTCATTAATATTTATTAATTCAGTAGTACAGATTTGTTTTTTTTTAGTCAGAGTAAAACTTTTTTTTTTACAGATTTTTTTTTTTACAGAGTTCAGCTCCAACCCTAATCAAACACACCTTAAGAAGCTAATCAAGGTCTAAGGATTACTAGAAAGCTACAGGCAGATGAGTTTTATCAAGGATTGAGCAAAACTCTGCAGGACTGTGGCTCTCCAGGACCGACGTTGGCCACCCCTGCTCTATTCTAATAACATGACAATTTTCTCAAATCGATACACATTTATTCTCATAACCTTTTTTTTTTTTTCTTTCTTTTTTTTCTGTTGCATGACAAATCTGTAAATAACACCTTGATTTATTAAATTCTTACCTCCCACCACCAGAGGGGGCTGGTGAGTTGATAGCCTGCACCATGTCAGTAGTAAGGGCATCCAACAGGCTGGTTATGAATTCCACTTTCTTTCCCTCTGGACACCCTGTAACATTTAAATAAAGACTGGCATAACCACAATCATTCCCATTTAAGCTTGCAGCAGCTTACAAAAGAGATATTTCAACACTGAAATATTCTCAGACCAACTTGTTTTCAATTATGCTCACAGTTAGCAAGGGACGTATTAAGCTGTCCCAATGAAACCATAATGCAATACGGTTGTATTTCTAATACAAGTCACATTTGATCTCAATCTTAACATTTTAGCCGTTCAAAGATCCCATAATCAACATAATATGCCAAGCAAAAAATGTTAGCATTTCCAAATGCTTGAGTGCATGTGTGAAATGTAAAGTAGCAAATAAGGTAGAGTGACAAGGTGACGAGGGCGCTTTCACAGACCACCGCAGCCCTGTTAACTTTTATGACACTCTGCTGAACACCTTGGGTAGCACGTTTTTAACTGTCCCAGATGCTTGGCTGCAACAGTGTGCTCGACTTGAGTCAATGTTTCGGTCCTTAATTGTGTCTCTTAAAGGGCAACTTAAAACAGGAGTATGTCATAAAATAATCTCAGTTTACATTTTCACTTTGGTTTTCTTGTGCTGTACCCTCTACCTCAGTCCCACTAACTTTCCTGATTTTCCTCATTGTAATTTTGCTGGCTCAAGGTAGTATGGGGCCCTGTGGCTCACCAGGTGACTCAAATTAGTATCTGTAAGGTTTGGACAAGTGTGATGACGTGCCGGCTCAGTGCTTCTCAGCCCAAGTGTTAAATCAGAACATATGGAATCAGACTCATCTTGTCAAACTTGCCATACTGTATTCAGCACATGTATACTTCATAAATCCAGCTTGTTGGAAGCCCTGATGTAGATTAGCCCTGAGTTTGTTTGTTTGCACTAGCATGATGCTACAGGTAGGTCTTGTAGTGGCATTTGGCCTGTGGAAATGGTTGTACATCTATCCAAAGTTCTTTTTTTCTCCATTCCGGTGTTGAAAGGATGAAACCAAGACTCTTTGTTTTGGTGCCAGGTAGCACTCAAGTAGAGTACATAAAAATAATTTCACTGAAGTCCCCCGGGCATTGACAGCACCTCTCGGTCCCCCGCTGCTGCCCTCCCCAGTGGTCCACACTGTCGTAAACTACACCACACATCTGTTGCCCAGTCAGGAGCCATGTTTTACTCTGTAAACTTACCAGATGGGGAATTAAAAAAGGAGTTACAATGAAGTTCTAAATGAAAGGGAAAGAAGCGAGAAACCTAGGAATGAACTGGAATGAGCAAAAGCCTAATTTTTCAATAGAAAACAACCTTTAAATGCTTACGTGTGGTGCTGCATATTCTTGTATTTGATACTGTAATCATTTGTCAAACATTATTAGCAAACACAAAAAAGGTAAGCAAAATAATCATGAAAATTAATATATACAATAAAACACCAATTTAAATGCAGAGAAACATATTAGCAATATCAATCATTATTGCACATAAAACAAGCAATAGGCTTAAGCTAGATCACAGAAATGGATCACGATTTGCTACTTGCTAGGCAGATTCAGAGAGAAGAACATTTAAATGGACAAAAATCTTTATTTTTGGTCTATTGTCCATCCTGGAAGTGGAATATGAAATAGTGAAAAAGTTAGTCAACTACATATAGCTTACAAATGACCTCAAAGCTATAGCTAATAAAGCTAATAAATGACTGGTACACTGTATTAGCATGTAATTGTAAAAGGATTTTATCAAACCATTTTAGAAACAATATGTGTATAAACAGAAGAATGAGTGACAAACTAATTGGACAGTTAGTCCATAGACACATTATACACTATGCACTTAAACTACGCGTTATATACTCTACTGCAGTGGTTCTCAAACTGGGGTACGCAAGATGACGGAAGGGGGTACGCGAACAAAATTCTGAGTTTTGGCATTCATTTAATTCTACCCCAACTTAAAGTAACATTAAAACCGAACATGTATTTCTGACAATCAAAATGCCGCTTCTAATGTAATAACAGAAAAATGGGAGTGCCGTAAACGGTCAAATACATGATATCCAATCAGCTTACCTCATCTTTTGTGGTCAAAACTGACTGCATCCACACAAGTAGCGTGCATGCGATAGGATGCCTGCTGAGTTGTGCTGCTTTAGCAAATTGCGCTCCTGTTCAATGTATCTTTACAGTAGATCTTCACTTAATAGCATGAAGAGCAAATATTGATACAATCTGAGATATATTGATACAGACACACTCTGTGCGTGTTATTGTTTTCATGTTTAAGATACGAGCAAGAATGCAAATTTCCCTGAATATCCAAACAATGGCAAATGTGCCATTAATTTTTTACAACAGTTCAACAAAAATGGTAATATTAAGTGAACATTTTACATTTTAAATGTAGTCTACATTTTAAACACAATATTGTCATGTTTGTTCTATTTTGCAACAAAATAATAGTTCCAACGAAATCCGTATCATCTGGTGTGCGTCTCCAAGCAACATACAGCGGTGTTTCATTAACGAATGAATCTGCGGCTTTGAATGATTTGGAGAGTCAGTGATTAATAACCCATTCATAACTACAGCATTTTGCTTCGTTACTGAATGAATGAATGACGCGACGCCTGGCTCATTAAGACAGCGACTTGCCGCCACCTACTGGCGGTTTTATTTTTAAATCTACAAGTATCACTTCGATTTGCCATCATTTATTGCATAATATATTAATAATACACTTAATGGAATGTTAAGAATATGACATAAAACATGACATACATGTTAATAAGGATAGAAAATATTTGCCTCTATAAAGGTAAAAAAATGCACCTGTAAATCAATTTAAGGGAGCAAATATTGGCCTTTAATAGAAAACGTGTGACTGCGGTCTAAGTGGAAAAGAGGGGGTACGCAGAAGAATGTTAAATGCCCTAGTTGGTACGCCGCTGTAAAACGTTTGAGAACCACTGCTCTACTGTATACTGTATGACTAGAAGGCTAGTTTGTCATCCAGCATCGGAGTCTGGTTATTAAAGCTATGTTATTAAGGCTGCGGCTGACACGTTCATTAAGTGTGTGCATTTCACACTTTTTTCAGTTAAATGAGTGCATCATCTGTGTAATGAAATACACTTCTTGTTGGAATTTTCAGCATGAACGAGTGTTGACTTGCACTATTTATACCATCAATTGGTGAAGTGCGCAAATATGCAAATTGGGACACACCTCATGTCAGGTATTTTGCTCACCTGCCAGATCTCTGTCTCTAAAAGGATCTTCCATGTCTGAGTCTCGAGAACGAGCCGTACTGTCACATTCTGGTTTCTTATACCTGATGGAGAACACAAACATGAGGCACTTAGTTACAATGTTTATTAAAAAAATCTCTACTGTTTTCAGTGTTTTTTTTTTTTGTACAAAGTCATACAAGTCATATCTGGAGGCCAGAATATCACCCAGACTTTGGACTCTTATGGATTATTTTGATTTGAGTCAGTAGGCAACCAACAAGTTACAACCTCCAGGCTGTTACATGTTCTCTGTGTGTGCTTTGCCACTGTTTGCTGTGCTGCCTCATTTGTCTCTCTGGTTACCCCTGTTAGTTGTCATAGTAATTAATTGACCACACCCCTTTCCTTGTTTGTTGTCATGGTTACTTATTGGTCCCTTTTGTTCTTATGTGTATATAGCTTTTGTGTTTCTCTTGTGCTTTGTTAGTTGTTGATTGTAATGGTTGCCTGTTTCTTGCATGCTTTTGTTCCTGAGTTCTCTGTGTTCTGTGTATTCTGTTACTTTATTAAATTCCTGCACATAGGTCCACGTCTCCACCTGCCTTTGCTATGCTCCACAAGCTCCAGCAGATGTGGAGCTTGGACCGCCACTTGATATTACTATAATGTACCATCTCCACTACTAGACGGGAGCAGGCTGGTGTCCAGTGTGGCGGACCCTCTGTTGATGTCGGTGCAGGCAGCCTCTGCGCTCTCAAGCCCGGTGGTCTATAAGGTTTTTACACCATCTGCTGACCTTCCAGTGATGTTGGTCACCATTCTGTGTGTCTGGGCTGTACACAGTTGCCTTGAGGTGGCGGGGACTGCTACAGAACCTCCCGAGGTGGCGGCGACTGCTACAGAACCTCCCGAGGAGGTGCCGACCGTTCCCAAGCTCTCAGCCTGTCCCGTCACAATCAAGGAGGCCATCCCTGAGCTCTCTGCCTGCCTTTATTTGCTCCACAACATTACAAATGCTTAGAAACATGCTTAAAACCACTCAGAACACCTTGATGACCCCATTATATCAACTTCTTGGACACCAAATAAGTTGACTTGGAAAAACCAAATCTTCATGGACAAGCATCCTGCACATTTTCTTTGTTAATTGTTAGTAGAGATTGCAGAGTTTGGCATTCACTGTAACAAACCCTCCGAAAAAGAGAATACAGCCATACAAGTCCTGTCTTGGTTAAAACAGCTATCCAAACAAATGAAGACATGACAAACTCCAAGTATTTGATTCCATTGTTTGATTAGACTTGGTTCACTGGTTTTTATTACACAAAATTGCACTCAAAATTGACTGAGACAGACATAAGAATGCATGACACTGCAGCCTCAAACAAGAAAAACAAAAAAAACATCTAGGATTTAATGGAAACGACTAGAACATCTATCCAAAATATCAAGCTCTCTCAGCATGGTACAGAGGCAGCGGGGGCTCAGTGCCTGAATTCAAATTGTGAATTTCATTTAGTGAGAACCAGTTGGCTAAACTTTCTCAATATTTCCAAAGCAAAAAAAGAGAGCAATTTACACATTCAGAGCACATCATGCTCTGGCTCGTAATGGGTAGAAGCACATGAGTACGTGTCACGCTTTCAATATGAGTCCTTTCTACACAATCCAGCACTCACAGCTTTGCTCATGGAAAAAATAAAGACTATGTGGTTTGGAGAGAAGGCCAATTGTCATAATGTTCCACAACTAAACTAATCAGTCACATTGCAATACTTAAAGCATTTTGAGATGTTTAGAGCATGCAAGCTCATCCAGAAACATGTCGTATAAATAATGAGGTAACAGCGCAAATAATAGGAAACGCTAACGATACAATTACAAAATTTGTCATAAGAACAAAATGTCTCTGTCTTACCTCGCAGAGGTTCCAGGTATGGGTCTCCCAGTGTCCACCAGCACACACCAGCAGTAACCAATTCATGTAATTTTTAATCAGATGTTTAGTGAATATCGTGCCGCAAGAAGAGTTATCAGAACCGCCGTTCCTCAGCATGACAGCTTGGGACACTCAAGCTGTTAATCATTAGATTGCACAGATGCATAAGCTATACAAAACTCTCTCAAGTCTCCTTCTCTTTCTTCTTCCTCAGTTTGATTTCTTGTTATTTTTGTAAGGTTAAAAATAGGGCTGTGGATTGAATAAACATATAACCAATTCAACATTAAGTTACACATTGAATCCCCAAATAAATGTAGACTCAACATGAAGGGCTCATTAGAAACGCCTCTACCTAAATTTTTGCTCCAAAAATGTACCTTTACAAACAGTTCTAAAACATTTTTAATACATAATACATTAAAACATTTTAATACATTAATGTTATGCATCACATAACCAGCTCCATACAGTATTTATAGCTATTCTAATGTAAGCAAACGCGCTTGGTAGATCACCTGGCAGGGCTGTACAGTGCGACATATACAGTGGGTACGGAAAGTATTCAGACCCCCTTAAATTTTTCACTCTTTGTTATATTGCAGCCATTTGCTAAAATCATTTAAGTTAATTTTTTTTCCTCATTAATGTACACACAGCACCCCATATTGACAGAAAAACACAGAATTGTTGACATTTTTGCACCAGTGCTATGTGAAAAAAAAGTTAACGTACAGCCCTGCCTGGTACAACATTTAATTGATTCAGCAAAGTTTTTTTTTTTATATCTCATGTTTGCTTTTGTTACCACTATTGTTTATGTTTAGGGTAGGGTTTAGTGTAAGTGGTATATTTTTGTTTTTGTTTTGTTTTTTCAAATGTGATAGAGCATTTACATTTTAGGAACACTCACCGGACATTACATTCTCAAACGACTGCAATATTTACAGCAACTGGTGTAATAAAATGTAACCTGATACTACAAGCACATATTTGCAGTGAGCCTGGGTTGGAAATAACAATCTTCACATAAATAGGGAGTAATGTGTTATTTATTTTTAATAGATTAAACAGTCCATATTAATCGACGAAATTGATGAATTTGTCGAGTAGTTTGAACGCGTGGTTCAACCAATAGCATTAGTCTGGGGTGGGACTATTTGTCTAAACAATGGCAGATGGGCACAGGGTATGTGGGGTTCTAGGGCTGTTTGGGAAACCTGTTTGGAAAGCATTATGTTCGCAATTCTATAGTGACACAAATATTACATTAACTACATTCTTTTGGGAGAAATAATGGGACAAAATAACCTGAGCCTACCTGAGCACCACAGAACAATGTGCCTCAATGTGTACAGTACAATCCAAATTCCATAGTTTTATTTGAAAAAAAGCCTAAATGGCCTTCAAATGAATTCCTACCGAAGTATACAATTTCTGGCCGAGGGCTGAGGGGTGGTACTGAGGTAGGACAAGATCTGGAGTGTAAGAGGAGAACGGCACTACCCAGTCAGGGTTCATCTGAACCTCCAAATGAAAACCATGAGCTACAACCCTGTTCAGTGTAACCAAATCCTGCTGTTTTTGCTTTTGTCTTCATTACAAATAGTTCTGGTAAGGGGACTGACAGCGTTGGCATGATCGGGAACAAGGTTTGGGATGTTTTAAGTGGAACCTGACTGCAAAGACAAGGAACGGGGGAGAGTTAGCCATCGGAGTATTATCATGTCCTCTTTTTCAGAGATGGGCTCACAATCCACACTCAAGTGTTCACGGCAGAGTCCATGACTCCTGTGCTTCCTGCCAAGGTTCCTTCATATCGAAATTATTTAGCACTGTTTATTGTAGCGAGGGTATACTGGTGCCAAGCAGCTGTGATTCCCAAACGAAAATTGTTTTTTTTTTTTACTCTCTCTCTCATCCTAATACAATAAAACAGGACAGAAAAGGATGGGCAGTCTCAGATCCCATTTAATCCTATTCATGTCACATTTTTGTTATGCATTCTTTTTTTTATTAAATTTTTTTTTATCTGCAAACTTAATCCGACCCTCCGCTCTTTTCGGAATACAGCCATTTCTATGCATTCTGTCCCTTGTTGTTCCAAGAAGTGAGTTGAATGAGTTCTGTTTAAACAAACAGACATAAGAGAGAATAAAGCCAAGGTGAGACCTCAATGCTCATTGTTCCCCAGAATGCTTTGCTGTGGTTCCTTCTCAATGTTTACAGGCTGGTATTGATTAGTTTATACGCAGCATGTTGTAGGTAAACTCTGCTGATTTCCTCACTATCATGCTGAAAATCAGAGCCTCATGTGTTTCATCGTGCCAAGATCTGGCCAAACAAAATAGCTTGAAACTCAGACTTATCGGCCTCTTGTAAACACAGCGTTCTCTCTCTCGTTTTCTCTTTTAGATGCATATATCTCTCTCTTTCTATCTCTCTTTCTTCTGCTATCGCTCCAATTGTTTTCAGCTGTGGGGTAAGTAATTACTCCATTCTTGGATCTATGCATTCGGCGCTCATAGTAACAGAAGAGGGTATGATGGGCCAGAAGAGGAGGGGTGGGCACCATGTTCTTTAAAAACTTTAATATGCTACACAGAGGGGATGGAAAGGTTTATCGACACTTGTCAAACATTTCCTCATCCTTAGAAGTATTCTAACAACTTCATTTTTATTTGCTTTATGTGAATTGGCAAATGGGTTTTGATTTTTATCAAGAAACACAATATGTTGTTTCTCACAGATGATGGGCCAATGATGCGTAATCATTGAAGAACTTCCTGGGCATGTGACGAGCGTTGGTTATTTGCCATATGGCAGATGCTTTTATCCAAAGTGACTTACCAAATTGGGTCAATCTGAGAAAACCATTTGTGCCTCATTTGTGTCCCCATTACTTACAACTTATATAATTAATAGGATACAGAACTTAGTCATATCCACCTTATTTTACAACACGAAAGTAAACAGTTTTGTACAGATAAAAATAACTGGAAGCGAATGACACCTGGAAGCCTTGCACATCAAATTACAAATGGCTGTGCTCAGTGTTACGTTAAAAATAAGGTGGGTAGTTAGACTTTTAGATGCATACATCATAATCCACATACAGTAGATGAATTTAACTCTGTGAAATGTAGAAAATGCAAAGAAAGAAATCCTATTTTATTAGCCATGTCCTCATTAATCATCATTACATTTAACAGGTTTTTATAGAATAATAGAAAAAAATATATTTCTACGTTATACGTAATACGTTATATGTAATATTCCACGTTTTACCTCTGTTATGTTGTTACATTTCCATGTTATGAATTCATATTTAAATGTTTGGTATCTTTTTTTTTGCCATATTATTTAAACACAAGCAAGTTTATTTTACAGTAAGAGAAACAGCATTTCATTAGAATAATTCTGTTAATATAATGTAATATAATATACCATATATAATATTTTTTTCAGTCATAATAGATAAGACTGAAACTGATTGATACAACCAGAATTTCAGTTATTTATTTAAATAAGTAAATATATGAATTCACACTGTGTTGAAATAACGCAGGGTTTACTGTCAGTAACAATACATGAGGATTGCAGTACGAGTATTAGTTTGAGGGCCTATGCTGGTCCCATAATGCCTATGGTGACTGTGGTCCAAAAACTTTGCATGTGAGGTGGGGAAATATGATTTTTTTTTTAAGTTAATGGTGATATTTTTAAATGATGTGATAAAAAAAAAAAACCACTCTTCAGTTCAATCATTTTTAGGCACAAAGAGCGATGTTTGCAGAAAAAAAGACAGTTTTAGGTAAAGTCACGCTAGGGTTAAGGGTGCTTTCACACCTGTAGATCGATTACTTTGTTCCAAAACAGGGATTACAATTATTACAATGTTGCTTTTTATTTTTGGTGCGTTTCGCGTTCACACTGCAAAATTTCTAAACGGACCAAATTTGTTAATACAAGTCAGGTGCGAGTAAACTGTTCTCTCATTGGGTCAAAGTTCCACGGTTTATTTTCCGGGATTCCACTGAGCTGTCACAGCTGTCATCTGTCAGGATGGAATGACAACAGCTTTGCGGGCTTATTGTTGGCTTTTTTTGTAGCTGTCGTTATATTAATTTATCATTTTGAGCAGGAGTCCAGGATTCATCGGGAAAACATTTTT